CAGTAAAAGACAATTGTTGTAGAACGTGTACAAGGATCCAAGGGAGTAAGGTGGGAGCAGAGGGGTGAGGATGGGCAAAGGAGTGGTCTGGTTAATCACAGGGCTGCACAATTTGATGGGTGGAGCGACGGGTGGTTAAAGGAAATGGGAAAGATCCTGAGTGAAAAAGAATGTATGCAAGCTTTTAAGTAAACCAGTTTATAATAAAAAAATTATATTTTAAAAATAAAAGAAGACTACTTTAGGGGGTATTTTTGGTCCAAAGCATAAAGATCATCTCATGGCAATAGTTTCAGGGTTCACTCAGCATAGCTGAGAAACTGAAATTCTGTCCTGCATTTCCCCCTGTTGATTAAATATTCTTCTTTAGCATCTTTGATCAAAACAGTAATAATAAATAATAGCCAGATATCACTAGTTATTCTGGTCTAGGAGCAAAGCAGGAAGTTGTTCATGGAAGCAATTAGCCATACATTTAATTTCCTTCTCTCTCCTGTATTGCTCCAGGCAAACATAAAGCAACTTCTGTGTCCTGGGTGACTGCGTGCAAGTGTGTAAGACTTTAGGAACCACACAGTGAATTAGAGCAGAAACATTAAACACAGTGGGCCAATTAACTAGGATGTTCCATGAAACCATGACACTAAACCTCCAAACTAAGGAATCAAATCTTTTAAGTATTTGTCCAAGTGCTACCTCAGCAGTTATTTTTTTTACCCTGTCCTTGTTATAAATGTCTATCACAACGCTTGCCAACTTAACATTTTACAGATGTACAACCTATTGACAGCATTTAAAATTTTCAGCTATGCAACCCTACCCTCAATCAATGATTTTTCAGTCACGATACACTGCAACTCAGTATTCCTTAAACCATAAACAATACTCCTTCCTTGCCTTCTGCCCCTGGTCACCACTTTGTTCTCTATTCATTTACCTTTCTCTGTATTTTTATAAAACTGTAGTGATATAATATTTGTCCCTTTATAACTGACTTTCACTCAGCATGCCTTCAAGTTACATCCTATCATATTATCTTACCAAAATCTCATTTCTTGCACACCCATGTTTATTGAGGCTTTGTTCACAAGAGCAAGGAGTTGGAAACAACCTAAGTGCCCATCAACAAATGGATAGAGAAGCTGTGGTATAGTCACACAATGGAATACTATGCTGCACTGAAAAACAAGAACTCATGCAGTATTATTCACTCTGGAGGACATTATGCTGAGCAAAGTATCTCAGTCACAAAAGGACAAATACTGAATGGTGCCATTGTTGTAAATCAGGACTGACCTTGGGGACGGGGAGAGACTGAGAAAGATGAGGGAGAAAACTATTTAAAAGGGATATGTGATTAGGTATTTTTGTCATGACAGGAGTCTAGAGCGACAGCTACATGGTGGAGTAGACCTGGAGGAGAGTTTGTAAAACACTGAAAGAATTTTTCTTTTACTTTTCCAAGAGGGTAGTGTACTAGGGGGGAGGGTTGGGAAGGGAGAAAAATGCATGAATGGAAATGCAAAGTCTCTGTAAATTTTTACTGAAATGAATAATAAATTTAAACAAAACAAAAAAAAAAGAAGTGCCAATCACAATGGCTAGAACACAGACATCTTTCATGGAAAAAACAAAACAAAACAACCCCTCATTTCTCTTATTGGCTACACTGTATTCCAATGTTCCAAGTGTACCACATATTGTTTTCCTATTCATCGGTTGATAGGCATTGGACTGCTTCTACTTTTTGGCTATTGTTAATTGCACAGCAATAAACACCTGTGTCTAAGACTTTGAGTCTCTGCTTTCAAGTCTTTTGGGACCATGACATTTTCAAGGCTTTGTGACCTTTCAGATGCAGGTCACCAGACTTTTCTTCAGAGATGCCTCTGCATAGGTTTGAGCCAGTGACCTTTCAGCTAGTTAATTTTTGTTGTTAGGTACCAATGAGTTGAGTAAGACCCACAGCGACCCTATGAACAACAGATCTGAACCCTGTCCTATCCTGTGCCACCCTTAAAACCTCTGACCTATTTGAGCCCTTTGTTGCAGTCACTGTGTCAATCTGTTTGGCTGAGGATCCTCCTCTCTTTTGCTCACCCTCCACCTTTCAGCATGAAATCCTTCTCCAAAGAATAGCCTTTCCTAGCTTTAACTAGAATCTCCCACATGTCTGAGCATCACAAATACCAGCTGCTAGATTCTGTAATAACATGAACTTGGTTTACATTTTATCTTTGTAAAAAATGTCTGTAGTCCACACAGAGAAGCCTCTGGAAAGATACTTCCCTAAACTTTGGAATAAGCTTATTCTTTCTCCTTGACATTATGGCTGAACTTTATAACACGGTACAGTAGAGAAAGCAAAGTTTTTAAACTCCTTTCAAGAACTTAGTGCCCCTAGACAAACCTGTTTCCTAATCCATAAAAATTATTAGAAATGATAAAAGATCTCTCTCTCTCTCTCTCTCTCACACACACACACACACACACACACAACCCTAGTAAAATTCAATTTAATATGGAAAAGGTAAACTATATACAGAAATAACTTAAAAGATGTAACTAAGTGGCAGAAGAAACCTGGGAAACACCAGGTCCAATCAAAGTGATCTAATCAAGTGTTTTGCAAACTCTGGAAGGAAAAGTTAGTGAAGTATCGTGTGCCCTGTAAGTTGTTCCCAGTGAAACATCCAACCCTAGCAAATAGTGGGACCAAGCAGGGCAAAAGCTGAGGATTACCAGCTCTAGAGCTCTCATTCCAACAGGACTACGGGGAAACCTGAACTTGCAGTCAGTATGTAAGAGTGAGGGCATCAGGAGGTCTCCTCCAAGACTGTTGCTGGTGTCTGAGGTCTTAGAAACTCTTGGTAGTCCAAAAGACCATGTCTTTTTAGCTTGTGAAGTCTGACCTAGCTCACGACAGTCAGAATCAAAGAAGTGCTGCATGTGCAGCTGACCAGAAATGTATAGAAATGAAAAGAGAAAATGTGTCTACCTCCTCACTGCTGGTGTCAGAATAAGATTTGACTGACCCACACACGAGTGTAGAAATAAAGATCACTAAGAAATGATCTATTAGTGTTTTCCCTCCACTCATCTAGGCAAAAGGAGCCTGAGCAAATATTTGTGCCATTTAGCAACTGTATTTCCTTGCTAAAAAAAACAATCAATCAAGAATAAGAACCAGACTCTGTTCTGACAAGATGAGGACCCAACCTATTGCCATCAAGCTGGTTCTGACCTTCACTGGGCTTCCAAGGCTGTAAATCTTTATGGAAGGAGATTTCCCATTTTTATCCCAGAGTGGGTAGTGGCTTCGAACCTCTAATCATCAGGTAGTAGCCCAAAACCTAATGCACTGTGCCACCAGGGATCCTTTTTATTTCAATGTGTTACACAAGGCTTTACCTGCATAACCCTATCAGAACATAAGTGGTTTGTAATTGTCTCCCTGTGCCCTAGGTCCAACAAAGATGATAGGTAATAGCTTTCATGACTTAACTGTTAAAGGGTTTGAGAACTTACCCAATTGATCGTAATTTGAAGTTTCTTTGATCAATACTAAGTACTTTCACTTCCTAAAGAGGGAGAGAAATACCATTTTACAAATAGTTTTATAACATGTCATTTATTAAGTTGAGAGTATCATCTTTCCTAGAAAATGATAGTATACTATTGTTTTTTTTTATTAAGTATGCTGTTGTTCTTTTTTTTTAATTTTTTTTTATAATTTTATTATTTTTTTGTGTGTACCGTCAAATCAGATCTGACTGGTACAGGAGGAGATTGTTCCTCCTTCTCCAGCAGAGCATCTGGTGGATTCGAACTGCTGTTGTTCTTAAACAAAGGAAAAATGTTAACATAAAAACAGCATGACTAAATATATTTCAAGAAAATAAGGTTTGTTTTACATACTTAAGTGAAATATTCTTGAAAAATGTATAATGTAGACACACAAGTTAAAAGATTTCTCTGAAGATATATGGTAGAGGAGATCAATATATTGTTTCAATCATTTCCAGTTTATATTCACATTTAGCATAGGCCACTTGAACACAGGAAGCCATGCAAGGCAGCTGGCAGAGCATATGTTATGCAACTAGTAATGGAGTTCGCTTTGTAGTGTTTTCTTTATCAATCCAACAGTATTTTGAAGTCATGTACTCATTGCTTTGGAGTTGGTTTTGACTCATATCTGACTCTCCAGTGAATTTATGAGATTGAAACTTGCACAGATGTGATAGCCCATCTTCCTTCCGCAGTGTGGCTAGATTCATGGTGTGTGCCAGAGAAGCGCAGCCTTGGGGTAGCAGCACAACTCGCTAAGGTCAACGGAGCTCAGTAAGGGAGAAGAGAAAATTACAGGAGCAGGGAGGGCCGTCTGCATTACATAACAATGTTGGTGGAGAACAGTGTCTTCCTGTAACATTAAGTAACTTTCATCTGGTTGTATTTCTCCCCCCCCAACAATAAACTATCAATAGTAATTATTTAATTTAGATCAATTTGGGAAAGCTGCTAAATCATGAACAGTTGACATAACAAAATGAAAATATGGGTGGACACAAATATAGCTCAAACTAGTGAGACATGAAAAGCATGGATAAGACAGAAAACTGGAGAACTGTCCCTAAAGGTGAGGAGCTTAGCATCACAGTATTTTTGGTGCTTAGATCAAAAGATGAGCAGTTTTCTCCACAGGAGAAAAATATGGCAATATAAAAAGACTTGGAAACATTAGGAAGCATATAAATAAGGCAAACTCAAGTTAAACACAATGTACCTAACAGTATAATTTATGCAAGTCAATATCATCTTATAGAACTCTTATGGATTGGTCTTGTACCCTGTGTTTTATTTTAAACTACCTAATCTATTTTAAAACCTGAAGAGTCAATTCCCCAAGGGGAAAAAAAAATCATTGCTTACCCGGGGTATGAAGTACTCTTCAGCACTGAATTTATAAAGCCACTCATCCAAAAAGTGAAACAGAAGAGACTGTAAGTCATCTCCTACACAGGATCAAAAAGAAGCAAACAGTAAATGTGGTAATAACTCTGGTCTCTCTTCTTTTTATTCATTCACTGTTGCATACTTTCTTCCCTCCCTCTTCCTTCCCTCTCCCCCAGTTAACTTTGCAATGCACCTCTAGTTCCAAACTATTGTCATACATAACTCTGGTCTCTTAATAATTTGTTTAATATAAAAGTGCAGTGGAAAAAAAATAAAATTTAAAAAAAAAAAAAGTGCAGTGGATTTCTTAGGCTAGTTAAAAGAGGAAGAGAAGCCTCATAATCAATTTTATTATAAAGAATCTGAAGTGGTACTCCAATTATTTAAAACACTGTGCATTTTTATAACATTTTCTTCTTCCCTGTAAATAAACCTGTTACCTTGAGTTTCAACTTCTACTGTCTGGAGGGGCTCAACAGTCCCAGTGTCTGTCATGTAACCAAACATGGCCATTGCACACTGCTCAAATGCTTCCTCCAGAGTATCGCCCCATGCGTGCAACCTAGAAGAACAGATTTATGTTTCTGTAATCAACTGGAAGATCGAAAACTTGGTGGCAATATAGAACTAAAATCACAATGCTAACAGAAACCACAGGCCTCAATCAACTCAATGGTATTGAAATTGGGTGCTTTTAAACTATCATTTTCATATTCTGAAAGAAACAAGATTGTTGTTGTAGGAAGAGAAAAACACTATTGACATTGAGATAAAAGCACTCAGCCTTTCAAAGGAACAAATCCCAGCTATACTTACTGGACATCAGCTGTATGATCCAAATCTGAAAGAGAGAAAAACACTAATGAGATACTAACCTTGACTTTTAAACAAATCACGGCAACTCCAACAAGGTGTACATAATTACTATCACTAAATTATACATGTAAAACATACTAAAAGGCAAATGTTTTCTTTTATCTATTTTTTTATCTTGATTGCATGGGAAAGTTGGATAATGAATGAGGAAGGCTGAACAACTACTGAGGCCTGTGAATGGTGGTAGTGGTGGTGAAGAGTACTGGATATTCCATGGACTGCCAAAAGAGTAAATCTACGTTGGAGGAAGTGCAACAAGGGTGCTCATTAGAGGCAAAGACGGTGAGACAATATCTCACATTCTTTGGACATGTTATTAGGAGGCACCAGGCCTTAGAAAAGGACATCCTACTGGGAAAAGTAGAAGACCAGCAAAAGAGAGACCGTCAAGAAGGACTGATACAGAGACTGCAACAATGAACTTGAGCATGGCAGAGATTGTGAGGATCCTGCAGGATAAGGCAAGATTTTTATCTGTTGTTCTTTGAATCGCTGAGTCATATTTGACTTGATGGCACCTGACAACAATTCAAGAAAAAAACATTTTATGGCGAGCTCTGGTGGCCTAGTGGCAAGAAACTGCACTGCAATCCCAGAGGTGCGCGGTTCAAATCCACCAGATGCTCTGCTGAAGAAGGAGGAACAATTGCCTCCTGTATCAGTCAGATCCAATTTGACGGTACACACATAAAAAGAATAAATAAATAAAAATTTTAAAAAAAGAAAAAAACATTTTAGAACATAAACTTCACAACATATATTTTGAGCTTTCCCAGGAAGCTTTTAGTATTCACACAAGAACTTTAGCTACACAAAAGCATATATATATATAGGCACATATGTACATACGTACGAATACATAGGGATACAAGGACATGTGCACATACTTGTAATGTTGTTGTTGTTAAGTGCAACTGAGTCATAGACGACCCTTAGTGACCCTACGAATGAACGCCCTGAACCATGTTTAAATATCATTGTTTCTCTAAGTTCATAGTTTCTGGAAGCAAGCTATTTCAGAAGTAGATGCCACTCCTGCTTCCAAGCTCCACCAAACGTTGGCTGCCAGGGATAACCATTACCACATTTGACACATCAGTGTCACAGTGTTCAGCATCACAGCAAGTATGAGTTACCTCTGAAAAGCAAAGTGACAGATGAGAGCTATACCACGTAGAACAATTAAAACCAGCTGCCTTTTTCCAATATAAGGCCAAATCAAATCAGCTTACATCCAATTGTGAATGAAACAAAACAATCAATCCACGCCCAAGCCTCAACCAAAACAAGAAAACACACCTTTTTCGAATCCAACTGCTCCACACATCTTCCCAAAGTGGATACCAGCCACATACTTGTAATAAATACTCATAAATGTAATAAACTACATACAAGACACAATTATAGATACTTCTTGTTGTGAGGTGCCATTTGAATCATGAGAACCCTATGTTCAATATCCTGTGGCATCCTTCCAATCTCGGCCATGTTCGGCCCACTGTTGTAGTAACTGTGCCCATCCATCTCACTGAGAGTCTTCCTCACCTTCTGAGTCTCCACCTTTACAAGCATGATGGTCTTTTCCAGGGACTGGAACCTCCTCACAAGTATGTGAGACCAAGTCACACCATCCTTGCCTCTAAGGAGCACTCTGGCTGCACTTCTTCCAACAGAGATTTGTTTGTTCCTTTAGTGGTTGCTATTGTTATGTGCCATAAAGTGCATTTGCTCTGAGCCCTGCCCTATCCTGAGACAATCTCTTAGTAGTCTCTGACAGACCTAATCCCATTGCTCCAGTTAGTAAATAAATCAATCTATATCATCCTTGCTTCAGTCTATATCATGCTTGCTGCAGAGGGTTAAGGACTGCAGCCTTCAATATGGATTGAGGCTCAGTGTCAAGAAGACAAAGATTCTCACCACTGGGCCGACTGGCAGCATCAGGATGGATGGTGAAGAGATTGAGATTGTTCACAGCTTTACTCTACCTGGCTCCACAATCAACACTCTTGCACCAGCAGCCAGGAAATTAAAAGACGTATTGCGATGGGAAAGTCTGCTGTTAGGGACCTCTCTAAAGTACTAAAGAGCAATGGTGTCTCTCTGGAGACAAAGGTGCGTCTAAAACAGGCCATGGTCTTTGCAATCACTTGTTATACATCAGAGTTGGACAATGACTAGGGAGGATAGAAGGAGAATTGATGCCTTTGAGCTTTGGTGTTGGAGAAGAGTACTGATGGTACCATGGATTGCCAAGAAAACAAACAGATTCATCCTGAAGAGGGTTAAACTGGGCTGCTCCTTGGAGGCAAGGATTCTGAGGCTTTGTCTGACATACTTTGGTCATGTTGTAAGAAGAGACCGGTCCTTGGAGAGGGACATCATGCTTGGGAGGGTGGAGGGCAGACAGGAGGGGAAGGCCCTCTAGGAGGTGGATTGATTCAGTGACTGGGGTAATTGGGATGGGTGTGTCGGAGACAGTGAGATTGGCACAGGACAGAGCAGAGTTTAGAGCTGTTGTACATAGGGTCGCTATGAGTTGCAAGCGACTCAACGGCACATAACAACAACAACAAACATATCCTGGGTCTTCCTCTCCTGCACCGTCCCTCCACCCTTCCAAGCATGATATCTAAGGACTGGTTTCTCCTATTTACTTGCCTAAAGTATATGAGACAGAGCCTCAAAATTCTTGCCTCCAAGGAGCATCCTGGTTTTACCCTCTGCAGGTCAGAGCTGTTTGTTCTCCTGGCAGTCCACAGTATGTTCAACACCCTCCTCTAGGATCGTAACTCAAAGGCATCGCTCCTTCTTCTGTCATCCCTGTTGTCCAGGTCTCTGATGCATAGCAAGTAACTGCAAAGACCACAGCCTGAATCAGGCATACTTTAGTCTCCAAACTGACATCGTTGCTATTCAGTACTCTAACAGGGTCCCTGACAGCCAACCTTCCCAATGCAATTCATCTTTTGGTATCCTAACTGCTGGTGCCAAGAGTATTGATAGTGCAACCAAGCAAGCTAAAATTTTAAACAATCTCAACCTCTTCTCCGTCATGAAGATAAACTGTCCCAGTGGTGAGAATCTTTGTCTTCTTGATGTTGAGCTTCAATCCATACTGAAGACTACAGTCCTTGACCTTCTGCAGGAAATACTTATGTCCTCTTCAGTTTCAGCAAGCAGGGTTGTGTCATCTGTATAACGCAGTCCAATGCAAGTCCAATCCTGAGGTCACATTGGTCCGAAAGTTCAGCCTCCCAAATGTTCTTTTCTGTATATAGGTTTTTGTTGTGACCCACACAGTCAAATGCCTTTGCATAGTCACTGAAACACAGATAGACATTCCTTTGGTACTCTCTGCTTTCAGCCAAGATCTAACTAACATTGGATATGATGTTCTTAGTGCCACAGCATTTATTTGATGAAATACGTCAATTGGTATCCATCAATTCCTGGGGCCTTGTTTTTTTCCAATTCCTTCAGAGCAGCCTGAACTTCCTCCTTCATCACCACTGCCTCTTGATTATATGTTGTTTCATGAAATTCTTCTGTGTCATCCAATTCTTTTTGGTTCAATGACTGTGAACTCCTTTCATCTTCTTTTGGTATATTCAATATGCTTTCCTGACACCACCATTCAAAGGTATCAATTCTTCTTTGATCTTCCTTATTCACAGTCCGATTTTACATGTATATGAAGGAAAAGAAAATACCATGGCTTGAAACAGGCATACTTTAGGTTTTGTTTTGTTTTTTGAGTGTGTCATCTTTTATTGGACAGAGTTCTCAATCTAGGTGACAGGGCTGTTCAAGAAGGGAAGGGCGCCAGGGCAAAGGCACCCAGCCAGGAATGCGGATGGCGCCTCTTAGTGGTACTTCTGTACCGTTCATGTTTGAGCTCCTTGTAAGAACGGCAGTAGCTGAACCACGTAAGCTGTCAGCAACATGGACAGCCCAGCAATGCTCCCCTTTTTCACGTTGACATACTTGTTGAAGTACCGGTAGTGGCCTCACTGGAAAGCTCCTGCGATGCTGCTCGGGGTGAAGTCCCGCATCAGTATCCAGCTGGGCAGCTCCCCCAGTTTTACATCCATTAGCTTCCTCTCCTTCAGTGGCACGACAGAGGCCATCTTGGAGTCCTGGGTGTCCACAGGCCGGGGCGCCCATACTTTAGTTTTTAAAATGGCATCCTTGTTCTTTAGTACCTTAAAAAGGTCTCTAACAGGCAAGCTCTGGTGGCCTACTGTCAAGAAGCTGCACTGCAATCCAGAGGTACGTGGTTCGAATCTACCAGTGAAGGAGGCACAATCTCCTCCTGTACCAGTCAAATCTGATTTGACAGTATACACACAAAAAATAATAAAAAATATTTTTTTAAAAAAGGTCTCTGATAGCAGATTTGTCCAATGGGATATTCTTTTAATTTCTTTATCTTTTCTTGGTATATTTGAGGTTGGTTGGGTTTTTTTTTCTTGGTTAAGAAACAAACAAACAAAAAAAAAACCAACCAAAACCAAAAAACCCCACAAAACTTTATTGGCCAATGAATTGCAATGAATTACAGAGATGTTTTGATGAGGAATAAAAACGCCAGGTGAGTCTCAGCCTCTGTACCCTAGCCTCGAATTCCTGGATTTTTCCTTCCTGAGGATACCTTAGATGATAAAGCTTTGACAGGCAGCCCAGGTCTTCTCAGGCCCCTGGAGACCTCTGATCCTGGTCACATGTGCATTAGGCTCGTGAACCTACTGTTTGTTGCTCTTACCATTAGGTGGAGATGCTCCTTGGGTTTTGGCTCCTTCCCAGTTCTCTGAGAAAATTCACAGATTCTGTCTTCTTTGCTGGTAGAACCATTCTTGCCCCTGACTGCTGAGGCTTTCTTTCACTGATGACTTCCCAAAGAGCCTAGTAGCCCTTGGAGAAGTCTTTATGGCTTTCTCTTGTTTGGGGAGTACATTCTTGGTCTCACTCTCTTTCTTGGCGGCCTTCTTCTTGGCTGTGCCTGGTTTGGTGGGAATGTTCTTCACTTCATCCAAATTCCTGGGCAGCTTTTTCACCTCATCTAGGTTGAAAGGGTTCTTTTTTTTTTATTATTATTATTATTATTTTATTTTAATGAAAGTTTACAGAGACTTAGGGTTTCCAGTCATCCATAGTCGCACTTTTCTCCCTGCCTTCCCCTCCCCCCCCAATTCACTCTTCTCCTTGAAAAGTAAAAGACAAACTCTTTCATTGTTATGCAATCCCTCCCCCCAAGTCCACTCCACTGTGCAGCCTTCATTCTGGACTCCTGTCATGTCAATACCCAATCATATATCCCGTTTAAACAGTTCTCTCCTTCTTTGCCTTGTTGGGGTTCTTGGGACTTGGTTTCACCAGATTTTCCTAGTGGCCATGCTGTTTGGCATCTTTCTGGATTATCCTTTCTTGGAAACTAATCTGAAGCTTCCAGTGGCTTCTGTGGCCTTGCAACTAAAAGGCCAGATGCAGAGTACTCGGTTGATACCTTAGGTCAGAGCCTGTTTCTTCTGGTTCTTGAGCTGGATAGTGCTCACCTGTGGGGGACTTCTGCAGGGTGTCCGATGGCCACCACAGAGGTGGCCTGCTGCTGCTCTCTCATAACAATGCCTCCAGCACCACGTGCAACACAGTAGAGTTGCAGCGCTGCACGTGGACACCTGAGTGGCTTGGACCTGACTTTTCAAATCCTGTCAATTTCACTGAGGTAGCCCCTGAGGTGGTGTTGGAAGGATAGCTTCCGGGAACCGTCTGACAGGGTGCTGTGGAACACTATAGAACATTATCTTTCCCCCCCAATGGGAAATGCACCTTTTGATTTCCTGCCTGCTGTTTCCATGGGTGCTGACTGTGGATCCAAATAAAATTAAATCCTGACAACTTCAATCTTTTTTCTATCATGATGTGGCTTACTGGTTCAGTTGTGAGGATTTTTTTTATGATGAGGTATAGTCCATACTAAAGGTTATACCATACTTCTTATAAATGACTAAACACCTTGTAAGCCTCTCTCTGAAGCAGTTTTTTCACTCTACAGGCCAAGAATCCCACCACATTTTGTCCTGCTGATCTCCTAGTTCTGTTGCTGCCAATTAATTCTCTGTCACATTTTCTTCTACTTGCATCATATTCAACACTGTAATTCTGACTCCTGAATCTAAGGCTTCTCAGGGTGAAGTTTTCCAAGTCAAATGGACATGCTCCACTCCCAGTTCTTTCTTGATAGTAGCCCTTCTGTTCTGAAATTGGTTCTCTTTAAGTCTAGCAGGATGTCAAAACTAACCCCTTTTTCAGGTACCAAATATTTTCTTTGCATGGTTCAACCATTGCAGAGTTCCACTCACATGATGTGTGTCATTGGCAAGTCTAATCCCTTTGGTGGACCACAAGTACCTTATTTACATAATCTCACCTGGCCATTGTGTAGGAGTCACAGAATCTATGGGTGATGATGTTGTTAGGTTCCTAATAGTGACCCCTATGAACAGCTGACTTGCACCCTGCCTTATCCTGTATCATCCTCATCATCTTTGACACAGTAGAGCCCACTGCTGAAGTCACATCAATCCTTCTCGTTTGGGGTCGTTCTCTCCTTCACTGACTCTTCATCCTTCAAGCATGATGTCCCTTTCCAAGGAATAACCTCACCTAGCTACCTGTCCAAAGCATGAAAGATGAAGCTTCGCCAGCTCTGCCTCCAATGAGCACTTTTCCTGAGACTTATCCATTTATTCTTTGGCAGTCTATGAGACATTCACTACTCTTCTCCAATATTTCCTAGCTCTCTGATGCATATAGCAAGTGATTGAAAAGACCATGGCCTGCATCAGGCTCACCTTAGTCTTCAAATTAACATCTATGGCTAGAAGGCCCATATTAAGTAACTCATTCAAGTGCATTGCAGAAAAAAAAAGATAGATTTGGAAAATAGTCTTCAGGCCTACCAGTATACAACCTTCATCTATTCTAAAGCCTAGAGGAATCAGATGGTGCCTATTCGGGACCATAAAGTAATGGATCCTGGTAAAATGGAAGAAGAAAAAAAAGTGGAAAAGAACCCAAATTTGTAAGGAACTCCAAACTTTCAAGACTAGTGCCTAGAAAATTCCCTGGAACTATTTCCCCAAGACAGCCTTAAATCTTGAGTACATCTTTTGGTTAAATAATAACGTGGTGGCAACAACATCAACAAATATCATCAACAAACAAACAAACAAACATCATCCACAAGCTCCTTTAAAACCAAATAGTCAGAAACTACTCAAAAGCAAAAATGAGATGGAAGGAGGACAGGGAAACTAGAGTACTAGAAACTGTACAACCAGAATAGAATGAGAATGATAACACTTTGTTAGAAACACATAATCAGTATCGCTGAGTGATTTATGTAGAGATTGTTAAGAGAGAACCAATTTGCTGCATAAACTTTCACCTTAAACACAGTAAAATAGCAACGACTATGGAAGGCAGTATGGTGCTTTCTCAGAAAGTTACAAATAGAAATACCATTTGACCCAACAATTCCACTACTGGGAAATACCCTAAAGAAACCAGAACTGCCACCCAAGCAGATCTATGCATACCCATGATTACTGCTGTTTTGTTCACAACAGCAAAGAGCTAGAAACCATCCAACTGCCCATCAACAAATGAAAGGATAGAGAAGCTCTGGTATAGTCACACAATGGAATACTATGCTGCACTGAAAATTAAGGAACTCATGAAATATTCTCCAAAATGGGTGACCATGAAGGATGCTGTGCTGACTGAAATATTTCAGTCACAAAAGGACAAATACTGCATAATGCCACATAAAGTGAGACTGACATCAGTTTTGGGGGAAAACTTTAAAAAAGAGTGGATAAATAATGTATACTGCATTTAAAAAGGTGAGGGAGAACTATTGAAAAGATAATATTATCATGATAAGAGTCCAGAATGAAAGCTGCATAGTGGAGTGGATCATAGGGGGGAATTATATAACCATGAAAGAATTTCTTTTTTTGCATGGCTCTTTTCAGTTTATTGCATGAAAGTGTTACACTAGTCCAAGTTAAAAGTGGACCCCAAATGGTTACATTATACAAGCTGTGAAGTTTTAAACTTGTGACAAGGGACAGAAGGGAAATTTCTACTCATTGCAAGGGAATCCTCACTTAAGTTTCAGTGAGCCACAAGCACTTAAAACCCATGAACCTTCAGCTGGTCGTCCTTAGCCAGTCCAATCTCTACAAGGAACTGGCATATGTTCTTGCGTTGGTCACCCTGTAGCTGAATTACTTCTCCATATTCTGGATGCTCAATTACAGTACCATTGTAGGCAAACTTCTTCTTAGACGCCTACACTAGTTTCTTTTTATCGTAATCATCAGCGATCCCTTGGACAGTTGTAAGGGTCTTCCTGCCGTTTCTCTGTTGAATTCTTATATAGATATAATCCTCAGCCCCAGCAGGAAGCAGGTCATCACCGTTACTTGCATCAGCAAAGGGGTCGAAAGAGTGGAGGTTCTGGATAGCGGACATATGATACGATTTCTTTTCCTTGGTGGAAACGGCCTGCGGAAGGCGGTGGCAGGAGAAGGCGGGCAGGGGGGATGGAGCGTCGGGAAGCGAGGGGGCTCGAGGCGGTGGCTCAGTGATTGGGGTCGAATTTTTTTTTTAAGAGAAAAGTGAACTAGGGAGGAGGGATGGGCAGGGAAGAAAGTATGCAACAATGAATGAATGGAAATCTAAAGTCTGTAAACTTTCATTAAAATTAATAAATTTTTTTAAAAAAACACAGTAAAAGAGCTTTTAAAAGCAGTAAGTGCGACTATATCCTACTCTCATTGGATCTATTAACTCAACGTTTCCAGTTTATTCTTCACCATATCTTAACTTCCATCTATTCTTCCATCTGAGGGTCATGGATTATTAAATCTAGAAGGAAGCCTTGGAGACTGGTCAGTGCAATGCCTACACTTAAAAGAAGAAATCTGAAATCTAGATAGGAGTCTACGACTTGTTTAGAACCACAAAGCTGATCAGAGGGAACTGGGGCTTGAACTGATGTTTCCTGGCTCCCAGTTTAGTGCATGTTGCACTATACACAGTCTTCTTGTGGCAAAAAAGG